CGATGAATGGGGGCCGGATGGCGCCAGTGAGAATCGACGAGAGGGGGTAGGCGAAGGGCAGCGTCATGGCGCTGTCGTTGACACTGTCAAAGGGCGGCGAGGGGCTCATGGACGAGCTCATCTCACGCACAGCGCCCCCGCCCACCGGCTGCTTCTGCACGATTATGCGGGCCTTGTCGGGCTGGCGGGGTAGGGGGGGCGTGATGTCGGCCGTCGCAATGAGTGTCATTCGCGGCGCCCACAGGCTCGACACGGCGAGGTCGAATCGGTGCCATTGCGGCTCGCCGGCGATGGTCAGCCGCGTGTGGAACTCGGGCCTGATGGCGAGGGAGCGGAAGGCGGAGGCCCACAGGCCCACACTGCCGATGATCTCGAGGGTCGTCATGAAGTCCGTCACGCAGCACAGACAGTTCTCCGGCATTGTCGACAGCGTCACAGCGGGTGGCTCGCCGCCCCCCTGGTCGCCCTTGGCGGCCCTCTTGATGAGCCGATAGGCAGGCGGCTGTGTGGCCCACAGCAGGAACTCGCCAACCATCGTCATCTCGCTAGACAGCCACACACGGCGCTGCCGGGGGTCCATCAGCGCACCAAGACAGAGCTCGTCCAGCGACGGCTGTGTGGCCAGGGCCCCAGCCAAGGTGCCCCCACAGGGACCTATCAGACCCCCGGCAGCCGAGCCCAGAGACTGGGAGGTCATGGCCCGCCCCAGGGCGGCCAGGGCGACGAGGCCCATGCCCCTCAGGCGCTTCGTGACGCCTTGCATGCGTCGCTTGGCCACAGGTGGGGGCGACGGGGGCGTGTGTGGTGGGAGGGGCGGTGTGGGGGGCGGGGGTGTGAGGTCGGTCTCGGCGAAGGCGCCGGGGGGGCTGGTGAGCTTCTCGAGTCGCCTGAGGTTGTGTTGGTCTGTGAAGTGCCGTGCGATGCGGCAGCCGGGGGGCGTGAGGGCCTCATCCAAGAAGGGCAGCCGACGCAAATGCTCGGAGGCTGGCAACCTGACACACCACAGGAGAAGCAACACACGATTGGCACATCCATCCATCCGTCCGTCCACCCCACTGGGTGTGCTCACTGGTCGATGGCTGTTCGCAGCAAGTCCATCAGGTGGTCGTATCGCGGCACCTGCAGCCTCCCGTAGCCCAGCACCTCCTTCACAAACTCACACACACCACCTGACCACACACAGAGACCGATGAGCTGATTTGGTCTGCTTTGCTGCCTCTCATCCTCCGATTGCCTACCAGGGAGTCCCTCGCAGGCTTCGTCTATATTGGTGTATCTCTTGGCGTCGGCCAGTGTGTTGGAGTCGGCCTGACTCATGTTGAGGACTGGCGTGGGCAGTGCTGGATTGCGCATCCACGGAAGGCTGCCACTCAACTGCCAGACCAAAGAGTAGCAGAGCCCCTCCAGATCGTCCCTGCACGCCGTACATCGACTCACGTGTACTGGATATCTCTGTCGTCCCCC